CACTGCACCTGTGTAGGAGACAAGCCTGCCAGACAGACTACCTAAGCCAAAGAAGCAGAAATAATGGTAAACGTTTAAGCTTTCAAGGTTTGGGCATCAACTTTAAAGCAGAATAAATAATTGAAACAGAATTTGGTGCCTGAAAATTGGGTGCTGTGGTGAAAAAAAGCTGAAACATGTGGCATTGTCTGTGAGACTGAGCAGAAGCTGGGCCTTGAGCAGAATGTGCCAGCTGGGAGGACACCAAGACTCTTGGTGAAGCCTGAGAGACAGTGAGATAAATGGCATTGGAAATGAGAAAAAAGCATGTGGGTTTTAGGTACTGGAGGCTTGTGAGCCTCACTGTTGCTTTGCATAACATGGAAAATTGATGGGGTGTCTCACCATCAGGGGGTTGCTGGAGGACACTTCTGGGAAGAATGTGTGGAATTTGCTATCTGATCTCCCTTTTCTGCCATTAAGAAAATATGAGAGGAGAGAGGTGAACTAAAATAAAATTCATTTTTGAATAGAGTTTAGAGAAAATATAAATGAGCCAGGGTGCCTACTGGTTAGCTCAGTTGGTTAGAGCATGGTGCTGATAACATCAAGGTTCAGGGTTTGATCCCTGTACTGGCAAGCCACCAAACCAAACCAAACCAAACAAAACAAAAATAATGGGATAGGACTTGCTGGGTTTAAAATAAAACTGTTTTTCAAGACCAGCTCCCCCTCTTTCCCCTCAGAAAAGTTTTCAAAGTAAGAAATGTCTTTGTGGCAAGGATCCAACCCAGTGTTTTGCAAAACAACATAAAACATCAAAAATATTTTCAGTCTTCTAAGGATCTTAGGGTGTGAATGAGAGACAGTGCCTGGTAAACAATAGGGCTTCTGAGGACATTATTTCATCACAGCCTTGGAAAGAATGGGAGGCCACAGAACAAAGGGTTTGCTTCAGAGTATGTGGGAGTAGGTTTCATCTAATGGATTTTAGTACACAGGAAGCCCATGCTTTATGAAGAAATGATTAAACTAAATCATTTCTTGTATCAAAAGGCAAGAGTCAGAAAAAATAATGAGAAATAGGACTTTGGATCCCCAACTTCCTATAAGCAAGAAATAGGCAAACAACATCTCTTGCCTTTACATACATAAACTTTGTGCAAAGTATACATCTTGAAACGTAACGTTTTTGGTCAATGATATATAGAAAACAATGTACATAATATACATTTATTGTAGTACACTTTTCCAGTAGTGGTTCCCGACAAAACACCTTTCTGTGTTCATGTCTTCATGAATTTCCCTCCCCAAATGACCATGGGCTTTGCCATTGCATTTACTTTGGCCAATGGGACACCAGTAAATGAAACACAAACATAGTTTTGAAAAGTATTTGCCCAAACAGAGTTTCCCCTCTTGGAATACTGTCATCTTGGGAAGAAGCTCGGTACTTGCCTGTTGGATTCACAGGGATCAACCAAGAGTCAGCACAAACCACCAGACATGTGAGTGAAGTCCTCTTCCAGGAACCAGCAGACTCCAGCCTCAGCTGTCTCCAGGTGACACCAGCACAGGTACTGCCCAGCCGAGCCCATCCTAAAAGGCTGACTCAGAGTCATGAACAAATAAAATGGTGGTTTTTAAAACCAGGAAGTTCTGGCTGATTTGACTTACATCAAAGGCTGGTAGCTCTAATTTCCCAGAATTCAGTATGTTTTTAACATATTGGTGAGTAGGAGAAAGAATTAACTACATGCCAATTACAATCAATAGAGCTTCACAATCACACATGGAGGTTTTCATAAGCATGATAAGTGTCACCAGGATGGACGTCAGTGCAGTGCTGGCACTAAGGCAGGTCATGTGAGTCACACAAAGAAACTGTCCTGAGATCATTACGACTATGTTTTAAATGTGTGCATCATAAGTCTCTTACTTATACATGAGCATGGTATTATTTTATTATATTATAAGAAAGTAAGTAGGAGTAACAATGTGATTCAGTCTAATTTTCTCATTTTAAGTAGTGGAAATAAGCTTCTAGTAGTCTGCTGTAGAATTTATGGTTTTCCAGAACAAATTACTGACATTAAGTGAGAAAAAACTTGTATTATTAACCCCATGAGCTCATACAATCCACAGAAAGCACTGGGGAAAAATAGAAATATTCAAGGCAAAGTTTTGTAAAACAACATTTGTTCTAAGTTGACTGCAGTTTCTCAAATTGATCTCAAAAACAAACATGAGTTTTGACTTAATTGTGTAAAAGCAGATAACACTAGTCAAAAAGTCAGGATGCCTGACATCTGCAAATCACGTGACCTTGGGCAACTCACTCCTCCAACTATTTATTTATTTATTAATGTTTCTTATGCAGCAGAAAGACCCTGGCAAACCCTTCCTGAACTGCCAGGAAGAACTATCAAGACAGAGGAAGCATCAGCACATCTCTAGATACAAAACGTGGTGCCAGAGTAGGTGTGAGAGAGCTCCAATTCTGGAAAAAATGAGGATAGAGTGAGGTAATGGGAGTGTGCTAGGGAGCAAGGTAGTCACATCTTCTGAGCTGTGACATGTCATTCCTCCATCCCAGAGCACACCCTGAAGACCCCTCCACTGAGTCACATTTTCTAGGCCCTTGTCTATCCCTGAACCAACTCACATCTCCCTTCTAAAATTTAGTCTGAATGTTCAAATATGACCCAGTCTCTGGCAGCTTCTGGAGAAGGCCGTCACACTCACGTCCTGCTCACTCTAGGCAGGAGGCTCAGTCGTTACTTGCGCCATGAGAAGATACAATCTTCACCTTCCTGCCATTCTTCATCTGCTCTGAGGGCTGGTGAGAGGGCTCAGCTCAGAGAGATGTTCTCTCAGGCAGAATTCCCACCCACAGGGTCCCCCTTCACACTGCATAAGAACGACTGTGTTCCAAAGCAAATGGGAGCGTCATCCAGGACCCCAGTGTCTTTCATACAACACACTGTGCCTGGAAACAAGGCCTTCATCCACTTTTGAAATGTCACATCAGGGGTGCTAAGCATGCTATAAACTAGAGGAGGAAAACAGAAACTTCACTGCTGGAGAGAAACTGACACCCACAGACACAGATGCCACGTGGCAACTCGCAGTCTGCATGCACTGCACAGTCACTTCTCTGGGAATTTGGGGCGTTTCCTAGTACTCCTAATATGCTCATGATACAGATGGGCAAACTGGGTCTCATATAGATTACTAACAGGTTCCTGCATGGCAGAGCTGGAATGGGACCTCACTGCACACCTCTGTCCCCTCCACCATTTTGGACTTGACCACTCTGTTCGTGAAGATTTGGAGCCAGTTTTCATAGCACACACCTGGCCTTCCAGCAGTGCACCGTCTTCTGACAAAGCATTTATTAGAAGCACAGCCCAAGTCGCCCCTTCCCCAGCCCTGACCTCTGGGTCCAGGCTAATGTCACTGCACCATCCCCCTAAGTTCCCACTGTCCCCTCCAGAAGCCACCAACGTTGGATGCCCCCATCATCCCCTCTAAGCTTCAACACCTCCTCCACACCCCACCGTGCCCAGGACCCAGCTCTGGTCCTCCTGCCCCTTCCTCAGCCCACCTTCATCCCACCCACATCACCCAGCCCCTGGGGTTTGGGGGAGGGGACGGCTCATCACTACCTCAGCCTTGGGCAGATGGTGCCAAGGCACAGTGGGAAGGGCTGGGCACAGGCCCGGGCACAGGCCCCAGCAGCTGGTCACCTCAGGCGCCATGGGAGGGTGTAGGAAATGAGACACGGCCTCGGGGAGAGAGGACCACAGATGCCCAATGCCACCCGGAGCCGGTCACAGGCACATCCAGTGCTCGGGCACCATCTCTGAGTGAGCCCCAGAGAACACGGCCGCAGAGATGCCGTCGCTGCTGGAGAGACACAGCCAGGGCTGCTCCTCCCGGGCTGTCCCCACAGATCCCGCAGCGCTGCAGGTGGAGGGTGTGCAGGCTCGGCACCATCTTCCCTGGGGCTGAAGGAGCCAGACGCCTTCAGTGGAGGCGGCCCAGCTGCCTGCGGAGGACGCTGCTGTTCCCGTTAGGAATTGTCATCAGCTTGAGAGAACCTGCCTTGGCGTGGCTGCAGCGTCCTCCCTTGGGAAGGCAGCACTCACGATGTCTGCAGGGTGCTGGCTGCCGTGAGAGGCACAGATGGCTGAGGTCGCCCAGCTCTTTACCATGTGTGCCCCTTGTCCCTGATGGTTGCTCTTCACCCTCCATCTCACCACCTCGCCCCTGCCTCAGATGTCTTGGGACTGGTGCCTCCTCCCCACCCCACTTCTCCAGGGCAGGCAGGGCTGTGCCATCTCTGGGGCCGCTGTAATAGTCTCCTGTGTTTGGTGCCCATTAGTGGGGTTGCGGGGATGGACCTGGGGGGAGGGGAGATTGTGAGGGGAAGGGACAGCCCTCGTGGCAGGGCCTGCAGCCTGCCATCCACTAGGCAGAGTTGAGTTCACTGTGTCAGTGAAAAAGGGAAGGACACCCATAATTAAGTGACCAGGATGATGCCAACGATGCCTTAGAGCGCCCACCTTGGCCAGAAGCCAAACCCCAGGAAGGTGCATAAAGGGGCTCCTACCCATATGGGTCATCTCTGCTGTCACAAGCCACCCCAAAGCCATCTCATTTGCTTGTGATCCTGTGGTCAGCAATTTGGGTGGGGCTCAGCTTGGGTCCCTCAAGGGGCTGTGTCATCTGGCAGATCCACCAGGGCTGGGGTCTAAGGTGGCCCCATTCACATCATTCCAGAGCCTCTCAGCATCTCAGGGTGGGGTGCAGGGAGGTGGCTCCTGTCACTCCTGCCACAGCCTCGTGTCACTACACAAGGACTCTGCAGCAGAGGACGTGTTCACCTACCCATTTACTTCTCATTTGACTGACTGAATGACATCTGGGACCCCCTGGACATGGACAATGACCACTCTGTCCCACGGGGCCCTGCTGAGAGGTGGGGTGGGAGGTGTGGCCACTCACCAGGCTGTCATGCCAAGGTTGTCAGGAAAAGAGAGGCTGCTGGGCCGTGGTGTCGGAGCTGAGCACATGTCCTGGTGTCCCACGTGAGTGACGGTCCCTCTACTCCAAGGCCTGGGGGCTGCTGAGCTCTATAAGCTGCTCAGATGCAGCAAAGCCCGCAGCAGCCCCACCAGGCAGAGAGCAGGAGCTCTGGCAGCCGGGTGTCCTTCCAGGCCATCACCTTCTGCCCCTTCCGCTGGCCTGTCCACACCTGCAGGAATAAGTGGTTCTTGATTCCTCCAGGGCAGGAGGAGGCCCAGTGGCACTGCCGCGGTGGCCTGCACTGTGACATGACCTCCCCCAAGGTCTTCCTCATCCTCCCGCAGCGCTGTGCAGGCCATGCAGCCGCCCGGAGGCCACGCAGGAGGGCTGTGCCCAGGGGGTGGCATCAGCCAGTGCACAGCCCAGGGAGGCGGGCACCCCACCCGCTGCAAGCCTGAGGCTGCTGGGTTCCCTGCTGGCAGTAGCCCCTGTCCCCAGCAGAAGGACAGCAGGGCCGCCCTCCTGACCATCCCTCCTGGAGATGCAGCATGGGAAGGGGTTTCATGCAGCGTTGCTGAGGACACAGCCCCTCTGTGTCACTCCCTGCCATGTTCCTGCCATTGGCTCAAATGCTTGGACTCAGCTGTGGACTGTGGGGCCCCAGCTCAGCGCCCTCTTCCCTACTGAGCTGGCACCATCAGGAGGTGACAGAGGGCTGGGGCCCATGGCATGTCCCACGTCAGCACCCCAGGGTACCAGGCCTGGTTCAGGAGGCCCTGATCAGTGCCCACAGACATGGTGGGGATTGGGCAGCACCGTGTCCCTTTAGCACCTGCCAGAGAATGGGGCACCCTAAAAGGAGTGGCCAGAAAATAGCCTCCCTGCTTCAAGGCCCCCCAGAAATAAAGCTGGTCCTCACCCGTGTGGCCTGAGACGTGGCCCTGGTTGGGCCTTATGGCCTCAGTGTCCCCAGGGACGGCTCCTCTGCTTAGCACCTGATGGGGTCCTGGAGACCCATGGACAATTCCTGATTTCCCTGTTCTCAGGTGAGGCCCAGCAAGGATGGGGATTCTGGATCCACTGAGAGGGTGCCCAGGTGGAATCATGTTGGTCCATGTTCCCTGCAGCAAGCCTGCCAGGGACCAGATGCTGGGTGGTGGTGTCAAGACTTGGTTTTTTAGACCCTCCCAGCATTCCCTCAGGTGAAGGCCAGGACATCTGAGTCCACAGGGTCTGGTCTGCCTGCTTCTGGTGGCTTGTCTCTGTGGCCCAGCCCCGTCCCCTCATCACATGCTCACATACACTCTCCCCAGCCCTCCTGCCCATCTGGCTCTGCCTCTGCTTTCCCCGGGGCTGCAGCGAGGCAAGGAGGAGGTGGGCACAGTGTTGCATGCCCACATCAGGCATGGTGAGCTGGCATAGGTCACCTGCCTCTGGAGGAAGTGGAGCTGGGGGCAGAGAGACACCTTCCAGGTCCTGGTCCAGCCAACACTGAGGATGGAGAGTTGGTGCTGTGGGTGGTGGGTTGTGGGTGGTGGGTGGGTGGCACAGTCAAAGGCCTGGGCTGTCCTTCCCCACAGCTCTGCATGACACCCCTTGTGTGGGCTCATCCACTGTCCAGCCCCCCACCCTAGCCCGCGGGCCTCCTGGCAGTGGCAGGGCTGGCAGATAACCTCCATCGAGGGAGTGCTCCATCAATGGCCACCTCTCCCCATCATCAAGGTAGCCTGCCCTACTCCTGTCTGTCTCCTGGGCAAGGAGGGCCAGTGCCTGGTTTGTTCCTTCACTGGCTGCACACAGTAGGTGACTTGTCACTCTCTGAGAAAGAAAACAAGCAGAGTCCATCCCTGCCCACCCTTCACAAGGACCCAGTGGCATCTCAACCTCTAGTTCATGCACCAATGTGCTCCTTATTATGTAGATTCTCATTTTTCCACTGAAGAGATTCTCAGGACTGGTGGGTGCAGCCACCCCAGCCCCATATGCAGCTGAGCACAAAGGACTGAGGTGCATGGCTGATGTGAGAGGAGGAGGCTCACCACGTCCCTGTCTTGGGCCCCACATCAAGTCACGGGTGGGGATTGATACTGGCAGGGCCCGGCTCTCCTCCCCAGGGTGCCTGTGACCCTGTTTTTAGCTTTGTGACTCCTTCCCTCCTGCAGGGGGAGCCCCAGACCTCGGCCCTCCAGTGGGAATGACAAGGTGTGTGGGGCCAGGATACTGTCAGGACCCTCTGTCATGACCCAGAGTCCACTCACATTTCCAGCTGGTCCTGGTGTTGGAGTGAGCAGGACTGAAGCCATGATGGGAACTAAAACCTCCTGGGCTGCAAGGGGCAGGGGATTTTTAAGAGGACAGTTTTTTCCTTTCTCTCTCCACTCTTTCTTCATCCCCTGACTTTCTTATCTTGCTTGTTAAAGAGGAGAACAAGGCTGAGAAGCTAATCAGTACTTTGCAAAGCTAACTAACAGTTCTTTCTTTGACCCTCGTAGAGTTTTGAGAAATGATTAAGACCGAATGACTGGAAACTGACCTGGGCACCAGCCAAGTCAACCAGAGCTCTGTGAAGTGAAACTATGCAAAAGCCTGCAGAAAAGACGATTCTACACTGGAGCAAATCAAAATCCTGCAGGGTCCTGAGATAACAGTGAAGGTGAGAACAGAAACCAGAAGAAGCTTTGGTGAGACCTCCTGACTCGTAGACTTGGACCCCTCATGGCTCAGGTACCCTTCTCTCCTGCTTTTCACCTCCCATGTTCAATTCCTCAAGCCATCATTTAGGAACCCCTCAGTAAATCTAAGTCTTTCAGACGGGAAAACCTACCATCTCTTTCAGCTGAATACATCTGCTTTTCTAACACCAACAATTTGACTTCTGAGGGTTTTTTTCTCCTCCAGGGAGTGGGCAGCTGGACCTGAGTTTGGTAACACTGAGGTCTGCCATCCCCGTCACAAGGGTGGCTGCATCCAAATCTACAGGAGGCGGCACATCTGTGATCTGGATAAGACCTGCTATGACCCTTACTGGGACTGGCTGACTCCCAACTACAGGGGAAGCCCGAGATGACAGGAATTTGGCCTATTCTGTTTGATGGATTATGCTAAGTGCTTACAAAAGTGACTGTACGTGGCAGGCACTTCGTATATGCTTGTTGAATGAATAATCTCCAACGAGCACCTCCCCAGATACCTCAGTGGGCTTGGGCCCCTCTGCCTGCCCCCAGTAAACTCTAGATGGAATCCCAAACCTCTTATAAATGAAAAACCCATGCTAACCAAACCCAGGGGCCAGTGAGAATGGCGACAGGGGCTGCTTCATGGGTGAGAGGGAAATAGTTAACTTGAGCAAACTTCCAGTCCTTTCTGCAGGGGCAGACACTGGGTAGGCATTTTCCATGGCTCATTCCATCTGGTCCCTGCAATGACTTTCTTGGTCTGGTCCTTTTGGCACCCACTTTTCAGAGGTGCAAACAGCTCAGGTGCAGTGACATTCTTAAGCCACAGCTAGTTGGAGCTAGGTCACTTCTGTGCCATAGAGGAGTGGTGCTCACCCTCTCAGCAGCAGGTCTAGCACCCAGTGTGTGGGGTCATACTCCTCCCCGATTAAAACAGCACCTGGCCTAAGGGATAAAAGATGGTGCCCAGGGGAAGTTAAAGGGGAGGGATTTCTTTGTCCCGCAAATATTTTCACTGGTAGTTATGCTCTTCTGCGCTCATGGACAGTGCATGATACTTAGGTTAAGCATAGAGAAATGAAACGCGTGCACATTTGCTCTTTTCACTGATTGCTTCTAATGTGGAAATCCCCGCTTGCTAAACATATAAACGTAGCTGTTTGTACAATAATAAACGGAACTGCCTGACAGAACCCCCGCTGCATGTGTTCATTTCCTATCTGGGTGGGCAGCGGTGCGCTCACCCATCTCTTGGAATCCCTCCTAGCCCCGTCCTCCGGGGGAGGGAGGGTAACCTCCTTTGGTCTTAGCCCCGCGGGGGGGAAAGAAATTCTGTCGGGGTCCCAAGTGGCCACAGGTGATGCCCGACACCAGTGGGTGGAGGTGAGGGCTCAGCAGGAGCACAGGAAGGTGGGGGTGTGGGAGGGGTCACTGCCCAGGAGGCCGCAATTGGTGCTCCAGCAGCTTCTCCAGTGTGTCTGCCTGGACCATCCCCACACAGCAGGCCTCCCCTTTCTGGGGTGGGACAAGATGGGGTCACACGGTCAGGGCAGCTTGGATGCCCAACCTCCTCCATGGGAACAGAGTCACTGACCCCATGTCATAGAGGGCACTGAGGCTCCAAGAGGTCTTGACGTGAGCTGACTTGTCACAGGGCTGAGACGTGGCCAGCTGTGAGATGCAAGAGTAATAGAACCACACTTGTGTCACTTCACGTGATGTGCAGCTAAAGCCAGAACACTGGCACGAGTTGCAGTGAGGGAAATTAAGCTTTAATTACAAGGCCAAGTAATGGAGTCCAGGTGGCTAAAGCTCAGAAACATCCTGATCTCTGAGAATGTTACAGGCAGGAGTTTTAAAGAAAGGGTTGTGGGTTGGGGAAGGAGATGCATGAGTCACCAGTTGACTGTTCTGAGTGGCTGCACCTCTGAGCACAAAGAAACAGGATCTCCATGAACAAAGACACAACTGTCAGTTTCCTTTATCACTTACCAGGCTCCTATCAGTCTGTGTTCTTCACAGTTCATCTCCTCAGCAAATTGTGAGGGCTGGGAATGTTCTGGATTTTGTCCTATAAAGACATTTGGGGGATGTGTGTCAAGATAATGTCTCCTGTCTCTGGAGCTTAGTGACTCTGTTTCATGGTCCTCCTCACTTAGGTTACATCGCGTACTGCCCAGCTGTCTTCTTTATACTTCCTTACTCGTTTGCTCATTGTAAATCCTAACTCATTAATTAGAGAGTCTGTTCCCAGATCCTAAGTCACATCAGCTTGAGGGACCAAGGTCATAGCTCACTTTCATTAAACTTTTGGGAGAGATTCACCCAAATGGGGTGTCCACTCAGTTATAGAACCCAGGATAACTTGACCACAAGGCTGTGTTCAATGATTGTTCAACAATGACAAAAATGAAAATGGTAATAATTACAACAGTGATGATTTTAACAATGGCAATGGCCATGTTGGTGATAATAACAGGAATAAATGTAAACCCAAGGAGGTGGCAGAGGAGTACAGACCTCCCCGAGTGAACGAGCAGTTGCTCATGTCGGGACCAGGGGTGCTCCGGGGCCAGAGCAGGAAGAATGCAGTGTGAACGGGTTCTGTGAAGGTGAAGGACAGAAGGTAGGTGGGAAAGAACGCAGGAGAGGTGGGCGGGGTCAACAGGAGACTCGTGTGGAAAACACCAGGTGAGACTTGGGAAAAGAGGAAACTGATGCCACTCCCAGAGCCCAGCACCACCCGGACAGAGTGAGGGTCAGGGTTGGTGTTGATGGTGAGGTTCAGGTTTGGGTTGAATTAGGGAGAGGGGTTGGAGATAGGATTAGGGGGTGAGGTTAGGATTAGAAGTTATAGTTGGTTTTAGGGAGTAGGGTTAGGATTAGTAGTTAGGGGTTATGTAGGTTGGGGTTGGAGATTAATGTTACAATTGTGGTAGGGTTAAGTGCTAGGGTGAATGTTATTGGTTAAGGACAGGCTTGCTGTTGGGGTTAGATTTAGAGGTTAGGGTTGAGGCTTACCATTAGAGTTCAAGGTTTAGATTTAGGATTAGGGTAAGGTTAGGGTTAGGTTTCAGTTTATGGGAAAGAGTTGAGTTTAGGGGTTAGAGTCAGGATTGGAGTTAAGTGGTAGGATTTAGGAATAGGTAATATGTATAACATGTTAGGAATTAAGGATTATGGTGATCGGGTGTGCTTATGGTTTAGGGCTTAGGCTCATTGGATAGAGTTGAGGATAATGGTGCATTAGGGAAAGGGTTAGGGGTTAAATATTAGGTGTTGAAGGTTAGGGTTAAGAATTAATATAAGCAGCTGGCTAGTTAGCTTAGTTGGTTACAGCATTTTACTGATAATACCAAGGTCCAGGGTTTGATCCTTGTACTGGAAAAAAAAAAAAAAAAAAAAAAAAAAAGAAAGAAAGAAAAGAAAAAGAATTAGATGCAAGACCAATTGGAAGTTGGTATCATCCCAACCTCCAAAGACCGTTGCCGAACTGAGAAATTTATGGATGGAAAGAAAGCCCTTTAGGGCAGAACTGGTGACTATACAGGTGTGGGCAGTGAGGATAAAGGGGATGCTGGAGATAAAATCTGGACATCTGTCTCCACTGAATGATTAGAAGCTGCTCCTGCTGTCTGAAGAAGGGGATACTGACAAGGTCATATTCAAGTAAAGAGCTTGAGGGCCAGTTTAGTCACACTGAGGTCAGGCATCCTCAGAGCACAGATTCCCATTCTAGAAAGAGCCAATTAGACAGGTTCTGTACTTGGACCCAAGGGCATGTTTAATTCATGGTGAGAGGTACTCAGGACTTCTGCACCCCACCATGCCTGACGTAATCACTATCCAGTGAAGTCCAGCCTGAGCATATCCACACTGTAGGTGGAAACTCCACTGCCCAAGTGGCCACCATTGTCCTGCATGTCCAGGACCTAAGCCTTCTGGGGCACCAGAACCTTCCAAGTGTAGAAGGGCCTGGAGTTTGAAGCAACCACTGTGGAGTGGTATATGTAGACAAGGAGAGATGCTTAGGGGAAAGCCCCTACTTATGTATACCCAGATGGTCTTTTCCAAGACACAGGGTATGACTCTGAGTCAAGGGCACTTGGTTACAGGGAATCCAGAGAAAGTAGGTTCTGAAGGGTAGGACCACCAATCCTCCCAGGCAGCAGTCCTGCCCAATAGAACTCTCCACTCCCATCCAAGATCTTGTTAGACCAGGATATCATGAACTTCTCAGAACACAGTTTGCATAAAAAAAAAGAGGAGACATTTGTCTAGTGAGAAACTTAGCAGCAACCACTAGGTGGGAGGTAGGGAAGTGAGGCGATCTGGGTTTACAAGACATCTGCTTGAGAGAGGAGTGTCACCTCCAGGAGAGGGGTCACAAGAAAAGTGTGTGTCTGAGTCCAGGATATGACCTGCCCAGCCTGAGGTGCCTGGCAGATATCTGAGTGGATGGGCATAGTTATAATGTATCTAATATTAGTAATGACACAGACACAACCGTGATTACTGTATGGGCTAATTTCTGTCCTCTTCTCCCCTCAAAATAATTATTTTGCAATCTCAAAACCCAGGAACTTCAAAAGGTGACTGCATTTGGAGATAGGGTCTTTAAAGAGGTTGTCAGGTTAAAATGAGTCTGGGCCCTAATACAATCTGACAGTTGTCCTTACAACGAGAGGGGATTAGGACATACGTAGACACACCAGGAGTAACTGTACACAGAGGATGACCATGTGAAGAGGAAGAGAGAAGGCAAACATCTGCCAGCCAAGGAGAGAGCCTTAGAGAAAACCAAACCTGCCAGCACCTTGATCTTCAAAATCCAGCCTCCAGAACTGTGAGAAAACACATGTTTGTTGTTTAATCTGCCCAGTCTGTGGTGTTTTGTATGGCAGCCCAAACAAACCCATACACGTAGCCAATATGAAATCTAGAGTAATGTGATAGGCTGTCTCTGTTCATATCAACAGGAGACTTGTCTATACTCCATTTAGTGAGGAGATGCTAACATTCACAGCTTCTGCTGAAGTTACTGCTAAGTTTCCATTATGAGTTAAACTGTGTTCGCCCTTCCCCCAAATTTATATGTTAAAGTCCTAAACCACACTACTACAGAATGTGATGGCATTTTGCAATATGCCATTGCAGTTGTAATTAGTTAATACAGTATGACTGATGTCCTTATAAATAGCGGGCATTTGTGCATAGACCACACAGGGAGAACATGATAGGTAAATGAAGGCAAACATCAGGGTGATGATTCTACAAGCAAAGGGATGTCGAAGATTGTCAGTACACTGCCAGAAGCTAGAGGACAGACATGAACCAGATTCTCTAGGGTCAGAATGATCGAGGTGACCTCCTTTTGGAACTCCCATCTGAATCTTAATTACCAGCCTTGCCAGCTTATAGAATTAAAACGTGTGTACAGAAAAGACTCAAAACATGAATCCTAAAGTGCATGAGGTGTTAATCTGAAACACACTGTATCAGGTGCCCTAGCTGCAAAGGAAGTGGTATCTAGTAAGAATATAGGGAGACCCAGGAGAAAAGGGGGTATTCACAACATGAGACAGAAACCAAGGTCTCACGTTAGCTGGGTTACCATGAGTCTGGTTAGTATTCGTGGCAAATACATGTCTCATTGCCCTACAATGCCTGTAGGATTAAAATTTAGAATTTAATAGGGTCACATCAATAGGTTGTAATAATAACCAGTTCTCTATCTGGGAGAGAGGGACAAGCCTTTTCCAGCTGTGTAGTGCAATCCGTTGAAGACATATTAGTTTATTGGATGAGAACAAACATTTTCTAATGGCTTGGAAGAGAACTACCATATTACTTTCTCACTTGTTTAACCATTTAAAGGAAAATAGATGCATGATTTTTTCATCCTCTAAAATGCATCTGCAAAAATAAACGTGGGTTCTATAATAGCAATACCTATATGACAACTAGAAAAGTGAAATTACTTATTAATATCAGGCGGTAATTGGCCCACATTGGAATTTCCCCGTTATTCTCACAATGCCCAGGTTGTCAAACGAGGATTTAGTAAAGAATCAGAATTCTACCTTGTAATAACGTGGAAAGAGACCAGTCTTGATCCATCAGGCCCTATTCTCCTGGTAGCAAGAGTCCCTGCGAGAAAATAAACAAAATCTTCTCCTTTGGTCCCTAAAGGATGACAGCAGAGGCTTGTGGGAAATGTAGTTCGCCCTCCAGTGACGTCACCAGCACAGGAGGACTAAACAGCTGCTCCAAGTTCCTTCTGTACTTGTGGGGCTCCTCTCGCTCTGCCATCTGGGAAATGTAGTTTCGCACTGTAATGACGACACCTGCGCAGGACTACGGGAAGGGCTTTTCCGGGTTTCTTCTGCGCATGTGCGTCTCCGCCCCCTCCGACATCTTTTGTTTGGAAATTCCGGACGCTGCCATTGTCCTCACGCTGCTCCTCAGATTTTGGGGTTGGATCGTGCGTCCCAATGGTGGGTGCGAGGGTGAAATAGGAGCCCGGCGGGCCTCGGAGGCCCTGGGGAGCGGGACGCTGTCCCAGCACTTGGGGGCAGAAGCGCCACGGACCTCGAGTGGGTGGGGCCTGACGTGCGGCGCGAGCGCGGACCTGGGCCGGGGAAGGGGCGCCCGGGCTGCGCTTTCCAGACGGTTCCGTCAGAGGACGGTGCTGCCGGGTGTGCAGAAGCCGGTTCCGCATATCCCAGGACAGGGGCTCAGGTCCCAGGTGGCGACGGGAACGTTGGTGGGGGTGTCTGAAGACAGCGAGCCTGGGAGGTGTGGGAAGGTCACGTTCCAGCGCCGCCATCAGGAACCTGGTACCGACCTACGGGACGTTCACTTCACCATCTGTACCGTCAGCGCCTGGACATTAGTGTGATGCTCCAGATCCCGGAGGTGAATCTGGGATTGTGAGGTGTGTGCAGAATGTCACTCTGTGGCTGCTGTGGTCGTGGGGTGTCTCAGTGTCTCTTCAGGAGGTCACGTTTCTGGTCCCTCCTGCCCTGTGCGGCCTGCCTGGCGCTCTTGGTTTGAATTTACAGAAGTTGATAACACAACCTTGTTTCCAGGACAGTGACTTCTAGGAAGGAGATTGGGGCACTGGATGTTGGTCCCATTTTCTTTGGAGTGAAGGAGGTGACAAACTTTGAAGGACAATGTCCTGTGAATAGGAATCCCACCTGGGGGAGCATAATTGTGGAAGGAGCCCTCTCAGTACCGCTTCAGTCCCAGAAAGGTGAAGGTCTCAGCTTTGCACAGTCTAAACAGTGATTGTGTCTAGTGCTTACAGCGCGCAGCAGTTGGTGATGACACCTCACTCAGTAGTTGTCTGAAACTGGATGGTATCAAAATGTTGGGGCCAACTTTCAGAAGGGAGAAGTGAATTAGACTGAGAAAGAGAGGCAAGGACCCAGGAGGTGTTACTTATCGAGGGGGGTTTGAAGGTGTCCGTGGGGTGCAGGAATAACCTGTCCCAGCTGAGAGGATCTGTCTGCAGTGCTCTCTGAACACACGCCCATTCCTTCAATCTTCCCTCACTGTTCCCAGTGTCTGAGCTCTCAAACCCAGCCTGTGGCCAAATTTGGAATCTAGAGATGTGCTAATGGTTCTCTATTTTCATTGTTCTTTTCTGGTCATTCAGGAATGGTTTCCCCCATATTTCTACCTTGTAAGAAAAGTGAAAATAATTGGATATGAGGAAATATGACTTGCTCCAGGGTTACATGATTTGTTGATATTAGACATCCTGACTTTTTGGGTAGCATTTTCCATTTTGCCACATTTAAGTCAAAACAAGTGTTTGTTCATTTTTGAGATTATTTTTGTAATGCTGAAGTCAACTTAGAACAAACATTGCTGTAACATACATTGCCTTAAACATCTCTATCCTTTTTTAACTCCAGTACTTTCTTTGGATTATGTCACCTCAAAGGGTAAATAATGTATTTCCCACTTAATATCAGTAAACTATTCTTTAAAATCAGAACTTTTGCAGGAATATATTGGAGGCAATTTTACATGATTTAAATGGGAAAATTAGATTGCACTTCCCTTCTACTAAAAACCAATTTCTTAAACATAATTAAAATACTTGTGTGCTTCAAAAAGTTCATGGAAAGATTTTTGTTCTCTTTTCATTCTATTTTTCCCCAAACTTTTTTTTTTTTTTTTTAAAGATGACCGGTAAGGGGTTCTTAACCCTTGACTTGGTGTTGTCAGCACCACGGTCACCCAGTGAGCAAACCGGCGATCCCTATATGGGATCCGAACCTGTGGCCTTGGTGTTATCAGCACCGCACTCTCCCGAGTGAGCCACAGGTCAGCCCCTTTCCCCAAACTTTTGAAAGTACACTGGTACAGTGCATTACTCACTTATAAGGAACACCCTTTTTATGTTGTATGTTTTTAAAGTAAACAACTTGTATGTGATGTAAAAAACAATACAAAACAAAATTTATAACTTACTTTACTGATGTGCAAATAATTGTTTTTTTATTATTTACATAGCCTCTATTAGGGCTAGAAACTTCACTGAAGTACATGTGGTTAACATTCATTGTGATTTTTCAAAACTTCTTCCTGTAGTTGTGAAGGTATATTGAATGTATTTGACTTGTAATTTAAGACTTTCTCCCCCACATAATTTGGTTAAATATGTTTGAGTTTGGGGGACTTAGATGTATTATTCAGTATTTGCTATGTAAGAAACAGGTCAAACCTCAATGGCTTAAAAAACCCAGCCATCTAATTATATTTATTTATTTTTTTTGAAGTTCTATGGATCCACATCTTGGGGTGCATTTAGCTGGGCAGTTCTCATTCTAGTGTTCCCTTGATTACAAATGTGGATTTAGTCTCCTGGTACCTTAACTGAGGCTATTTGGTTAAAGATGGCTTCATTCACATGTCCTGTGGTTTGTGCTGATGCTTGGATGGGCCCTGTGTCTCCCCAGCCTTCTTTATAGTATGACTGTGTTTAAGAGGCAAGCACCAATGGCCAGTACTTTTCAAACCTATGTTTGCAGGACATTTTCTAATGGGCCAGTGTCCAAAGCAGGTCCCATGACAGAGACTAGTTTGTTGTCAGAGCATGCTATATAAGGGCTTGGGTACAGGGAGATCAGTGTACCAGAAGAAATATAGATTATGTGTATTTTGTTTACCTGTGTAATCATGGCCAACATGTGCTGGGTTACAAGATGCACACTATCCAGATATTTAGGTATGTAAAAGGAAGATGTGTTGTAATGGAAACACTTTTTTTGGAGTCATGTGTGAACCTAATATATTAATAGGGTAACAGTTAATACAGCCAAATGATTTCTACAACACTGATTCTAGTGATGTCATGATGTGTTTTCTTGGTTTAAGGTATTAAGTTATATGTTTAGGTAATATCGATTTATGCTAAGTCAGTAGGCTATGTATGTTTTCATTGACCCCAAAATAAATTGTGTGTGTAATGTGTAGCTATTAATGTACTTGTAGCTGCATCTTTAATGGGGTCTTGTTGCCTCTTATTGAGGCATGAAGGACTGTTCTCTCACAGGAAGGCTTTTTGTTTATTTGTCTTTTTCAGCTAATAAGTAGTTTTGTGAAGGAGAATCTAGAGCCAAGCCACAACCGTACTCTCCTTAATCCACTCCATTCTCTTTTCTCCCAGCTATGCTGCCAGAGTGTGCTATGGGTTTACAAGAGCAACAAAAGATGAATAAATCTCTGGTGAGTTTTTTGTTTATTTATTACTCAGTCTTTTTTTGTTGTTGTATTATGTGAGCTTTATGGTGTGTATAAATTAAAATTGAAAAAGTACAGGTAAAACTCAACTTGAAAGATACGTACATTCATAAGATAAAGTTGGCATGTAGATAGAGACGTTTGTAAGGCTGCAGAGTTATCTAAATTGAATAAAAATTTTTCTCTGGTCTTTGTGATGTCATGGAAAAAAGGCAGACACCTTGTTTACATGATTGGAGTGGAACCTGAGAAGAGAATCTGCCAAATTCTCTTGGGATGTGAGGAGTTGGTGGTACCAAATTCTGAAACACCATCAATATTAGAAAGTTTTTCACTGCTGATCTGGAAGTAAACATTTCTTACTTTGTGCAGTGGAAATAGTTACCTAGTTCTAAGGTACAAGTTGCTCAGTAAGCTTTTTATAAAGTTTCTAAAATAAATCTAGTTCCAGATGGCTTTGGAAGACTGTACTAGATTCACAGGAAAACCTAGAATGATAACCTAAGTTATCGTCAAATCCAATGACTATTTTCTAGTCTTTTTCTAACTTGAGTCTTGTGCTACATTTTGAACTACTGTTCATGATATTCTCCTGGAGATTCCTCTGTGTTAGTTTATTAATTTCTCTCATGAGTTCACTGATGGTTTTTGCTGTTTTCTCCTGAGTTCTTCTACTTTCTTCTTTATAACATAGCTTATCAAAGTGCTTCATCCTGGGCCCTGCTCTTCTCATGTGAAATTCTTTCTCACTGATTCAGTCCTCTGTATTTTGCCCTCTTCTTTCTCTCCAACTTGTGCTTCTTCCCTATTCTTTTGATCATAGGTTGAATGCTGTTGAATGCTTGTTTGTAGCTGTTCAAAGTGCACCTCAAGGTGCTGGCTTGTCAGCTTAGTTGTTTAGATCATGGTGTTTTAACACCAAGGTCAAGGGTTCAGATCTCTGCACCAGCCACCTGCCAGGAAAAATAATGTCACATAAGGTTAACAAATCTAAAATTAAAACCACTTCCCCTTCTTCTCTTATATGTGTTATCACTACAGCCCCACCACTGACACAAGCCACCAAAATGATATTTCTCCTGGACTCCTCCCTGTTTCTTGGGCCTAATTTATCTTGTGTTACTTCTGCTACTTTTGTCTGTTTGATTTTTTTCATTTTGTTCTAATTTCTATGTACACTGATAGTATAGGGGGAGATGTTTGTACTCATAAAGACTATAACTTTGTTCTGCCAGAAATATCATTCTGGTGAAAACCTGAAGGTAATGTTTGCTGGGCTATGAGGTTCAATCCCTGGTGACCTATGCTTCTAGCATGCACCTGTGGTGACATCCTTAGGAGTCCATGGAGAGAAAGTCTTCAGGAGTGACTGGGACGTGTTTGAACAATGGTCAGTAAAAAGACATGAAATAATAAAAACAGAAAGTACAAATTTTTATAATGTCTACCTTTTGCTTTTATAAATTTACATCAGTGATTCTATTTGTAGTTTTTATTAATCTACAGTTATCTGTTTGTAGTTCAATAAGACCCATCATGTTTTTAAACTTTCTTACAGATTGTGTTTTATTTTAGCTGCAAGAATTCTTGTTATCTCCACTCAGATACCAAAGCATCTCTTCCAGTGTATTCTCTTAGTCAAGCACATCACTAAGACCAGCCTTGATTCAAGGGGAAGGCAATTAGATTCCACCTGTCAATAAGAGGAGTAGCAAGACTTTGCAGCACTGTTGAGTAGACCACAGTCTGATCTCTGACCATACATTTCTACTGCATACAAAAATATACTTTGCCCCTCTCAAGAGCCCTAGAAATATTCTACCACTGTGCAGTTGACAAAAAAGCCAAACTAAACAAGCTCCAGGGTCCTGTCATCTTTTTAACACACATCCAGCTTACAGTAAACAGACAGGCATGACCATGTGTGCACTTTTCTTCAGACAGGGTTGGTGAGAAGGGGTAGCACTCTGAGGGCAGTGGTCTGAGTAATTACATATTCTTGTCAGGCACCTGCTTTAGTATTTTATTAGGGCCTAGTCCTGGTCCCTGGAAAGGATGCTTTGTGCCTCTTCACTGTGCCCTCTAGGCTCTCACCATTCTGTCAGTATCTCTTTTCCTTGAATGGCTGGGTTTGCAGTTGACTGTCTTTCTTTACCTATTTTTGGTTATTATATGTTGGGGGATCGAACATCCTTCTTTTTTTACTTTTTTCCGACTCTGACCTTTTGATATAGGAAATTTTCTGGTGTATTCACTGCCATAAAAACATAGGTTTCCATTGTGCTAAAATCCATTAGACCAATGCTACCCTCACACATTCTGAGTCAGGCCCGTGGTTCTCTGACCTCCCCTTCTCTCTGAGGTGGCTGTTTCTTTAGAAGTTTTATTGTTTACTATGCACATGTGTCAGATCCAATGGTACTTAGAAAGCTAGAAATATTTTTGGTCTTTTGTCTTTTTTGGAAAACAATGGATTTGATCCTTGCCACAAAACAGTTTGAAAATATTTCTCTTGGAAAAATGGATGGAAAGATAATTTTATTTCAAACTCAGCAAGTCCTAGCTCCTTCATATTTTCTCTAAATTCTGTTTGAAAATTGAACATCCTTCTTTATTTTCTCACTGACAGAGAGAGGGGGCCAAGTAGCACTTTTCCTTTTGTTCCCCAAAGTCTCTTTTGGCACACCCTGAGATGGTGAGATATCCACTCCATTTTCCATGTTATGGGAGGTGGTAGTGTGACCCACAACCTTCAGTGTTCCATTTATTTCTAGTAATATAATTTGTCTTGAAGATTCTTTTGCTGCTATTGATATTTCCACTTAAGCTTTTCACAATTTGTGTTGCTATGGTAGATATGTTTTCACTATTTTACTTTTAGTATGTTTCTTTGTATTTCAAGTGTAGTTCTCTGTACAACATATTGTTGGGTCTTTTGTATCAAATCTGACAGTCTTTGCCTTAAGTAGAATATTTAATGCAATTCATTTGAACCAATCATTGTTTAGTGTGCGATTTTGCTATTTTCTATTTGTATTTGCCTCATCTGCCTTTTAATCCTCTGCTTTTTATTTTTTTCTATTTGTATTTGCCTCATCTGCCTTTTAATCCTCTGCTTTTTATTTTTTTCTATTTGTATTTGCCTCATCTGCCTTTTAATCCTCTGCTTTTTATTTTTTTCTATTTGTATTTGCCTCATCTGCCTTTTAATCCTCTGCTTTTTATTTTCTAACTTTTTATCAATTATTTAATTTTTAAATAGTAGTTTATTTTGGTTTATCTATTAGCTCTTAAAATAATTTGTTTTTAATTTTGGCAAAAAGCGTATAGCATAAAATTTGCCATTTGAATCATTTCTTAACCTTTATGTAGTTTTAAGTATATTGACACTGTTGTGCAGGAGATATCCACATGTTTTTTATCTTGGAAAATTGAAACTCTATATCCATTAAATGGCAACTGCCAATTTACCCCTTTTCCCAGCCTTTGGCAATCACCATTCTACTTTGTGTTTCTAAAAATTTGACTCCTATCAGTGGGACCATACAGTACTTGTCATTTTGTGAGTGTCTTATTTCACTTTTCATAATGTCCTCAAGGTTCCATGTTATAGCATATGTCAAGGTTCCCTTTCTTCTTAAGGTTGGATATTATTTCTTTGTATTTGTATACCACATTTTATTTATCCATTCATTCATGGCTGAACATTTGGGTTGCTTACCTCTCTTAACTCTGTGAGTAATGCTGCTCTGAACACAGGTGTGGAGATATCTTTTTGAGATTCTCTTTTTAATTATTTTGGATATATATACAAAACTTGGATTTATGAATTGTATGGTAATTCTATTTGTAATTTTTTGAGAAGTCACTGTACTATTTCTTTTTTAATAGGGGCTGCATCATTTTATTTATTTATTTATTTATTTTCCTTTTTGTCTTTTTTCGTGACGGGTAATGGGATCGCAACCTTCGGTGTCACGCCTGCACCGCACTCAGCCAGTGAGCAGACTGGTCTCTATATGGGATCCGAACCCTCGGCGGGAGCGCCACCGCGCTCCCAAGCGCCGCACTCTACCGAGTGCGCCACCGGGCCAGCCTGTGGCTGCATCATTTTATATACTCATATAAAGTGTACAGAGTTTCCAATTTTGCCAATACTTTTTATTTTCTGTTAGGTGTGAAATGATATTTTATTGTGGTTTTGCATTTCTCTAGTGATTAATGATGTTAAGCATCTTTCCATGAGCTTGGTAGAGATTGGTATATCATCTTTGTAGAAATGTCTTTTGAAGACCTTTGCTTATTTTTTAATCAGATTATTTGTTTTGTTGTTTAGTTGTAGGCATTTTTTAAATGTAGGCATTTTAAAAATGGATTCTTGATGCTAATTTCTAATGAGGTAGATGATTTTGAACTTCCTTTTTTCTTTTTTGAGTTGCTAATGTAAATAGTATTGTGTTTTTTGTCTTAAATTTCACTTGGTCATTTCTGGGGTATAGAAAAGTGATTGACTTTTGTATTTTAATGTTGTATCCTGCAATCTTGGTGTATCAGTAATTAATTCCAGGAAGTTTCCCATTTACTTTCTAGGATATTTTACACAGATAATCATATCATCTGCAACTAATGACAATTTTATTTATTTATTTCCCATTCTGTAAATCTTTTATTTTATTTCATTGCATTATTACACTACCCAGTACTTTTAGTATGATGTTGATGGAGTGATGAGAGGATACATTCTTACTTTGTTTCTGATTATCTGGAAAAGTTTTGAGTTTCTTACCATTAAGGATGATGTTAGGTGCAGTTTTCCTGTAGATAATCTTTATCAAGTTGTGATGTTCCCCTCTATTCCTAGTTTACAGAAAATTTTTATGATGAATAGATGCTGTATTTTTTCAAATGCTTTTTCTGCATCTATTGATGTGATTGTGTGATTTTTTGTTTTTTCTTGTTAGTGTTTTCATGTTATAGATTACATTGATTGATGTTCCTATGTTGAACCACCCTTGCCTGCTTGGGATAAATACCACTTGGTCATGGTGCGTAATTCTCTTTACACATTGTTGGATTAGTTTTGCTAATATTTTATTGAGCTTATTTGCATGTATGTTCATGAGAGACAACAGTTTGTAGTTTTCTATTCTTGTAATATCTTTGGTTTGGGTACTGAGGTAATGCTGTCCTCATACAATGATCTGGGAAGTACTTCATCTTCTATTCTCTGCAATAGATTGTAGGAAGGTGGTATATTTTCTTTCTTAAATGTTGGCTTCCATTCTCCTGTAAACACATGAAGGCCAGGTGTTTCCTGTTTTGAATGTTATTATTTGTTTACTCAATTGTCATAATAGATACAGGCCTATTCACATTGTGTATTTGGGTGTGCATGAGTTTTGGTAAACTGTCTTTTAAGGAATTGGTCCATTTCATGTAGGATGTCAAATGTGTGCAGAGTTGTTCATCGTATTATTAGTCGTTTAATGTCCGTAGGATCTGTATTGATGTCATGTCATTCACTTCTGATAATAGTAATTTCTGTCTTGTGTTCATTATCTTTTAATTTCTGTCTTGTGTTCATATCTGTATTGATGTCATGTCATTCACTTCTGATAATAGTAATTTCTGTCTTGTGTTCATTATCTTTTTAGTTAGCCTGGCTATAGGCTTATCAATTTTATTGATCTTTTTAAAGAATCAGGTTTTTAGATGTTTATTTTTTCTCCAGATTTTCCTTTTCAATTTTATTTCTGTTCTAGTTTGTATTTATTTTCTTCTGCTTCCTTTCAACGTATTTAGCTCTTTGGTGTCATTTTCTCTCTTTTTTTTTTTTCTTCTGGTGTCTGTCCAGTATGGGAATCAAAATCCTTGACCTTGGCATTACAAGGTGGTGCTCTAACCATCTGAGATAACTTGTCAGCCCCATTTTCACTTTCATTTATTAAAAATATTTTAAATTTTTCTTCTGGGTTTTTTTGTGGTCTTTTTTTTTTTTTTAGCCCATGTATTAGTGTATGTTGTTTAATCCCACTCTATTTGAGGATCTTGCAGTCATTGCCCTGTTACTGATTTCCAGTTCAATTCTTTTGTGGTCTGAGAGCACATATTGTATGGTTTCTACTATTTTAGTTTTCCTAAAGTGTGTTATGTGAATCTGAATATGGTCTTAGTGGGTTTTTTTATATGAGTTTGAGAAGAATGTCTATTCTGTTGTTGTTGGAAGAAGTAGTCTGTAGATATCCATTATATCCAGATCATGTTATTGAGTTTAACTATGTCTTTTATGGTTTTCTGTCTGCTGTATTGGTTCATTTTTGATACAGAGTGTTGAAATCTCCAGTTTTGATGGTGGATTCTTCTATTTCTCCTTGAAGTACTATTAGGTTTGGTGTCACATACTTTGATGATCTGTTGTAAGGCACGTACACATTAAGAATTATCCTCTGGGAGAAGTAACCCCTATATTAGGATGTAATGCCACTCTTTCTTCCCCTCTATACTCTGTTTAAAGATAAAGTGTTTCTGCAGATTCTGTACTTTTTTAACTTTCAACCTCAGGTTCATTCACTCTGATGTCTTCAGATAACATGGAAATTTTGATACTTTTCAAATCTTTATTGTCAGCTTAAAAGCTGGAATTGTACATCCAATTGCCACCTGGACATTTCCACAGATATATCAAGTATTATGTATTCAAGTCTGTTTCACTTTTGCTCTTTATATTTTTCTCCCATTTTTCAAACTTTGCTTTGCAGTTCCAGGACATAACTAGCTGTGCTTCTGTAGTCTGAGAGTAAAACTCTTCTTTTAAAATTCTGCACAGCAAATTACTACCACATTCTGTTTCTGCTTTTTCATTACCTGTTTCTTTTTTATAGTGTTAAGTCTCTCTTCTCTGTGCTTATTTCTCTGTGTTGTAATGTAGTTGGTTTTCTGTGACCGTGTTTTCCTTTTCCCTCTGACTCTCCCTAAAAGTCTTTTCCATTCTCCTTGTAGTGGATGATGATTAAAATACAAATAAAGTCATGTACTTACAGAACCATGTTATTTTATCCCTGTGGTTTAGAAAGTTGCCGTGTACACCCTGGTGTAGACACAAGCAATCCTTTGGCACATAGGAAGGAAATTTTGGAATGACTTTTTAATGTACTTTTAATTCATAAGTAGGTAAAAATCAGCGACAACTACATAAAATGTTTTGCTGTTTGAAATAAGTCACATATTTAAGTGCAGAAACATTCTATAATTAGTTGCTTCAATATTGTTCCCTTTTGCTGCCCAAGATCATTCACTCAGACATGGTGCTATGTGTAGTTCCATTAATGTGGGGTGTGTTCATTGTGTTCTTGTGACTGGCCTTTTCCTGTTGCCTAATATCCGTGAGACCAAGCAGTTTACAAGGAAGAGTTTAACATCTTTGGCATTTCAGTGAAGTGCAAACTGAATACAAAACAAAACTATATTTTCTATTTCTTATGCCAGTCTATATTGAATTTGTGTTTAAATTTGTTCATCAAACACAGTATTTATACTTATGTCTTCATGCCTGTTTATACTCTGCTTGGAAAAGAAAAATTTTATTCACACTTCTATCACTAGCAACAAGGATATTTCTTAAGGTTTAAACTAAGTTTTGTAATATCATTTTTATTAATTGATAACTTATTACAGTACCAGGATATTTGTCCTTTGAATTTTCTTCCTCCCATTCTATGGAGCACAGCAAAGTGGCATCTTAAATAAGACACACATGACACATGCACACACAGAGGTGTGAACTCCCAGATTTCTATATTGTGACTCAGAAATGTTGACTTGAGTTGAGGGCGATATGTCATTCCAGGAGTTGGTATCATTTGAGGATGTGGCTGTGGACTTCACCTGGGAGGAGTGGCAGGACCTGAATGATGCTCAGAGGACTTTGTACAGGGATGTGATGCTGGAGACCTACAGCAACCTGGTGTCACTGAGTGAGTAAACACCCCAGTGACTTTCAGGAGAAATGTTTCTTTTTGTTCATAATAGGAACCATTTATAGGGTTTCATGGTATTTTGGTAAGATTACATTTTTTGAAAACATGCTCTCACGAGGTTCAAATTGGCCTCTTTATTGCACAACATCTGAAGGTGAGCTTTTGCCATTCTTCCAAGGATCAGACTTAGTAGTTTTACAAAGTCCTACATTACTTCCCATTAACAGAACACAGTATTAACAAAGCTGAGGTGATTGTCAAGTTAGAAAATGGAGCTGAGCCATGGACAATAGAAGAATGCCCAAACCAGGTCCTGCAATATTTGTCAGCACATACAGTGCAGAAGCCAAGAAAAGTAAAGCCCATTAGATGTTGGCAGTGTTCAGCTGTTTATAACAGTTTCCCCTGCAAGTCCCAGACTTGAGGATGGCTCACCTGCAATCCTGTATTACATAATGTCCAAGGTGGGGTATCCCATGTACATCCCGATATTTTATTTGGCTGAATCTGTTTTGTATGTACCCATATTCTAATTCCTAAGTTTCTCATTTGACATTTATTTTTATTTTCTTTCTTAACATTTTCAGTTGTGCTTGTTCTTCAATTCTCATGTACATTTTTTTCATACTGTATCTGTTTGTTTTCTGTTGTTTCTGACAGAATAGCTGCAACTGGGTAATTTATAAAGAAAAAATCTTTTTTCTTACAAGTCTGTTCTGGAGGCTCAGCATTCCAAGTTCAAGGGGTTGCATCTGGTGAGGGCTTTTGTTCTGGTGAGGACTTTTCACAGAGTCCCAAAGTAGTGCAGGGTATCACATAGCAATTCACTAAGAAAATACTAAAAGAGGTACAGCAGTGAGCCTTGTACCACCACGTCAAAAATCATGAAGCTGAGGAGAACCTTGCATGGGAGAATGGAAAGGGTGGTCCTTGACTTTGAGGGAAAACTAGGAGATTCTGCATACCAAGGCTATGTGAACTAAGGGTTCCATGTTGAGGGGATAAGATTGTTGATTGGGAGTGGAGTTGAAACTTAGCATTTTTCTGTTTTATTTGTGGAAATCATTTAGAAAAACAACCAAAATGAGAAATGTGCAGGAGACAAATTTTATGAGAATAGAAGACCTCCAATACTTCACTGCACAGAACAGATCTTTCACAAGAAATAAATTATCAAGTGGTGATCCATGTACCAGAAATTGGGAATAGAATACAAGTTAACTTGAGGAGGAGTCAAAAGAACATATTTGAAAGATGGTGGGAACAGCCTTGGATGCAGAACCAAATATTTTAGAACAGAAAGGGGTGTCTAGTGTGGAGAACTGATTTTCCTTTATTCTAATGGTTTATGAGAAGCAGAGGAAGTCAGGTTAAATGAAAAACTTGGAGGAAGCTGTTTTTATCTAGGATGGAGGAAAGGATATTTTATTCTTTGGAAAACGTCCACATTCCTATAGCCATTTTCTATGGGAGAAGTGTACAGCATATAAACATAAATGCAAAATCCTTACCCTCAGTAATGTTCCTGCATATGTGATAAAAAGTTGGCTCACTTCTGTAACCGACAGTAGCTGATGATGGAAAATCTAGTCATGTTCATTGTGAAATAATGAGAAAATAGCAGCAGGAGACATCCATTGTTGTAAAAATGAAAGAGAAATTGGTATAAAGAAATGAAAGATGTTTAGTTGAAAACTACATGTAGACAGAAAATAAAAATTCTTAACAAATATTTAGTCATAAATTAAAATTTAAAAATGAACAAAGAAGGAAAAACCTTGACATAACATTAGAAATTATATTAGTATACTATTACATTGTCAGTAAGAAAAAATTCCATAAACTCATGAAACCAACATCCATTATTGATTTTTTTACATAATCTTTTGTTACTAGGATTGGAAAGCACTTCTGTACCTTTATTTGCACAATCAATGAGATATGCTTATGTGTGGTTTATTATTAGTTATTTTTTTCTCATTTCAGATTTCCAGATAGATGATGACCTTGAGGAGAAGAACCAAGAAAGTCATGGTAGATGCTTGCAGCAAATTTTAGTCACCAACAGCAACACATCAGCTGAGGAGAGAGTCATGTTAGGAAAATCACTTTATTTGAGTTCATATATTGTTTTAAATATGATTATAAATAATGGAAAGTATTCAGGAAAGGGACATGAGGAGTTATACATATGTCAGAATGCACTTCTTCCTAGAGGGCCTGATGAGATGCCTGCTGGAGAGAAACCTGATGACCATCATATAACTGAAAAATTGCCCAGACATCATGAGCACCTTAGTCAGCATCCCAATATTCAAACTGGGAAGCAGCTTTTAGAATACAGTGGAAAAGGGAAATCCTCCAACACAGAGCCAACAATATTTACACATAAAAAGATTCACATCAATGAGACCACCTGTAAGTATAATGAATATGGGAAAGGCTGTAATAAGGCAGCTGCCATTGTCCAAGAAATAAATCACGTAGAAAGGAGAACTTTTCAATGTGATATACATGGGAAAATGTTCTGTAAAAAGTCTGAACTTACTCAACATCAGATTATGCACACAGGAGAGAAACACTATAAATATGCTGAATGTGAGAAAACTTTTATTAAGAAATTATACCTTACCTCACATCAGAGAACACCTATACAGGAGAAGCTTTATGGTTGGAATGAACAGGAGAAAATTTTTTGTCAGAAGTCAGACCTTACAATGCATCAGAGAACTCACACAGGAGAAATGTACTATGGAAGTATTAAATGTGGGAAAAGCTTTGGTAAGAATTCACCCAGCCATCATGAGAGAACTCACACAGGTGAAATACCAGATGGATGTAATGAATGTGAAAAATCTTCCTACCATGAGTCTGCACTCTCTGTATATCAGAGAGTTCACACAAGTGAGAAACCATGTAAAGAATATGAAAAAGCCTTTTACAGTAATAAATGTAAAAACTTTCCTGAAAAGTCACACTGCAACAGTCATCAGAGAATTTGCACAGGTGAGAAACCACGTGAATGTAAGGAATGTGGAAAAACTTTTAACCAAAAGTCAAGCCTAAGCATTCATTCCAGAACTCACAGACGTGAGAAACCATATGAATGTAAGGAAAGCAGAGAAGCTCTTAACCAAAAGTCAGATTTCAGTGGTAATGAAATAATTCACACACATGAGAAACCATATGAATGTACAGAATGTGGAAAAACTTTTAGCCAAAAGTTATACTTAAGTATTCATCACAGAACTCAAACAGGTGAGAAACCATACAAATCTAGAGAATGTGGAAAAACTTTTAACCAAAAGTCAAGCCTAAGCATTCATTCCAGAACTCACAGACGTGAGAAACCATATGAATGTAAGGAAAGCAGAGAAGCTCTTAACCAAAAGTCAGATTTCAGTGGTAATGAAATAATTCACACACATGAGAAACCATATGAATGTACAGAATGTGGAAAAACTTTTAGCCAAAAGTTATACTTAAGTATTCATCACAGAACTCAAACAGGTGAGAAACCATACAAATCTAGAGAATGTGGAAAAACTTTTAACCAAAAGTCAAGCCTAAGCATTCATTCCAGAACTCACAGACGTGAGAAACCATATGAATGTAAGGAAAGCAGAGAAGCTCTTAACCAAAAGTCAGATTTCAGTGGTAATGAAATAATTCACACACATGAGAAACCATATGAATGTACAGAATGTGGAAAAACTTTTAGCCAAAAGTTATACTTAAGTATTCATCACAGAACTCAAACAGGTGAGAAACCATACAAATCTAGAGAATGTGGAAAAACTTTTAACCAAAAGTCAAGCCTAAGCATTCATTCCAGAACTCACAGACGTGAGAAACCATATGAATGTAAGGAAAGCAGAGAAGCTCTTAACCAAAAGTCAGATTTCAGTGGTAATGAAATAATTCACACACATGAGAAACCATATGAATGTACAGAATGTGGAAAAACTTTTAGCCAAAAGTTATACTTAAGTATTCATCACAGAACTCAAACAGGTGAGAAACCATACAAATCTAGAGAATGTGGAAAAACTTTTAACCAAAAGTCAAGCCTAAGCATTCATTCCAGAACTCACAGACGTGAGAAACCATATGAATGTAAGGAAAGCAGAGAAGCTCTTAACCAAAAGTCAGATTTCAGTGGTAATGAAATAATTCACACACATGAGAAACCATATGAATGTACAGAATGTGTCACACAGGTGAGAAACCATATGAATGTAAAGAATGTGGAAAAGCTTTTAACCGAAAGTCAAAGCTCAGCATTCATCAGAGAAGTCACACAGGTGAGAAACCATATGAATGTAAAGAATGTGGAAAAGCTTTTAGCCAGAAGTCACAGCTCAGCATTCATCAGAGAAGTCACACAGGTGAGAGACCATATGAATGCAAAGACTGTGGAAAAGCTTTTAGCCGGAAGTCACATCTCAGCATTCATCAGAGAATTCACACAGGTGAGAGACCATATGAATGCAAAGACTGTGGAAAAGCTTTTAGCCGGAAGTCACAGCTCAGCATTCATCAGAGAAGTCACACAGGTGAGAGACCATATGAATGTAAAGACTGTGGAAAAGCTTTTAGCCAGAAGTCACAGCTCAGCGTTCATCAGAGAAGTCACACAGGTGAGAAACCATATGAATGTAAAGACTGTGGAAAAGCTTTTAGCCAGAAGTCACAGCTCAGCATTCATCAGAGAAGTCACACAGGTGAGAAATCATATGAATGCAAAGACTGTGGGAAAGCTTTTACCTACAAGTCAGAGATCAGGAAGCATGAGAGAATTCACACAGGTGAGAAACCTTATGAATGTAAAGACTGTGGAAAAGCATTTAGGGAAAAGTCAAGCCTCATCATTCACCAGAGAATTCACACTGGTGAGAAACCATATGAATGTAGAGAATGTGGAAAAACTTTTAAACAAAAGTCACACCTGAGTAGGCATCAGAGAAGTCACACAGGTGAGAAACCACATGAATGTAAAGACTGTGGAAAAGCCTTTAGGGAAAAGTCAAGCCTCAGCATTCATCAGAGAAATCACACAGGTGAGAAACCATATGAATGTAAAGACTGCGGGAAAGCTTTTACCTATAAATCAGACATCAGGAAGCATGAGAGAATTCACACAGGTGAGAAACCATATGAATGTAGAGAATGTGGAAAAACTTTTAACCAAAAGTCAAGCCTCAGCATTCATCAGAGAAACCACACAGGTGAGAAACCATATGAATGTACAGAATGTGGAAAAGCTTTTAAACAAAAGTCATGCCTCAGAATTCATCAGAGAAATCACACAGGTGAGAAACCATATGAATGTACTGAATGTGGAAAAACTTTTATACAAAAGTCACACCTTAGCAGGCATCAGAGAAGTCAAACAGGTGAGAAACCTTGTGTATGTAGAGAATGTGGAAAAACTTTTAACCAACAGTCAAGCCTCAGCAATCATCAGAGAATTCACACTGGTGAGAAACGATATGAATGTAGAGAATGTGGAAAAACTTTTAATCGAAAGTCACACCTTAGCAGACATCAGAGTATTCACACTGGTGAGAAACCATATGAACATTAAGAATATGGAAAAGATTGTAGTGAAAAGTTATACTTCAGCATTCATCAGATAAGTCACAGAGGTGGGAAATGATCTGAATGTAAAGACTGGGAAAGCTTTTGCCCACAAATCAGACACCAGGAAGCATGAGAGAATTCACACTTGTGAGAAGTGATAAGAATGTAGAGAATGTGGAAAAACTTTTAATCAAAAGTCACACCTTAGCAGGCACCAGAGAATTCACACAGGTGAGAAACCATAAGAACATGAAGAATGTGGAAAAGCTTTTAGCGAAACGTCATACTTCAGCATTGATGGAGTTTGGATGGGTTGTCCCCTTCAAAACTCATGTGGCAATTTGATCCCCATTGTCGCAGTGTTGGAAACTGATTGAGTCATGCAGGTAGATTCCTCATGAATGGATTAATGTTCTCCCTGGTGGGGGTAGTAATGAGGGAGTTCTTGCTCTATGAGTTTCTATGAGAGCTTGTTTATAGGACCCTGCCACCTCCTGTCTCCTGCTTCCTCTCTCCATCTGATCTGCTCATACCCACTGGCAGCCTGCCACTTTCTGCCATGAGTAGAAGCAGCCTGAGGCCTGTGCCAGATGTACCTGTCCCAGAATTGTAAGCCAAATAAATCTCCATTATAAATTACCCAGTCTCAGGTATTTCTGTCATAGCAATACAAAATGGACTAAAACAAGCATTCGTCAGAGAATGCACACAGGTGAGAAACCACATGAACGTAGAGAATGTAGGAAAACTTTTAATCAAAATTCACACCTTAGCAGGCTTCAGAAAATTCAGACAGGTGAGAAACCACATGAACATTAAGAATGTGGGAAAGCTTTTAGCAAAAAGTCATACTTCAGCATTCATCAGAGAACTGACACAGTGAGAAACCATATTAATGTAAAGAATGCGGAAAAACTTAATGAAAAGTTAGACCTCAGAAGGCATGAGAGAACTCGCACAGATGAGAAACCATATGAATGCAAAGAATACGCAAAAGCTTTTTAACAAAAAGCCACACCTCAGCAGCCATCAAAAATTCACATAGGTGGGAAACCATGTGAATGTAAAGAATGTGGAAAAACGGTTTACTGGAACTCACCATATTAGATATGAACAAATTCACATGTGGGAAAATCTCAACTTATGTAATGACTGCTGGAGTAGGTTTTGCCATAAATCACGTCATGTTTCATCACAGAACTCACATCAAGAAGTAGCCCTATAAATGCACAACTGTCCCTTGGTATTGGAGAGTGGTTCCAGGACCCCCAGTTGATTAAAACCTGGGGAGGGTGGAAGAAGTCACAACAATTACAATTCCTTGAAGTCGATAAGACAAGCGAAAAGAAAGGAGGTTGTCAGGAAGGAGGGTGAGAGGGAGGAGGGAGGGAGGTTTTGGTAAAGGGCCGCAATAATCAACCACATTGTATATTGACAAAGTAAAATAAAATCTAAAAAATAGTTAAAATGGTAAATATTAAGTTATGTATATTTCACCATATTACAGATAAATAATAATAAAATTTTTTTAAAAAGGAAGAAAGTAAAGTGAAAGCTCACACTGCAGTAGGCATGAGATAGTTTACATGGGAAATTCTGCATGGATTAAACTAGGTACGTATTTTCTACAAGCACCTTTTTTGTCTTGTACAGATGCCTGCAATCTCAGCTTTTAATTACTGTGTGTAGAGACATGTAATTTGTCTGTATTCAGGGGAGTGTGGATACAGATGATAAACATTCCTTCCAGGCCAGGCAATAAAAAAATATGCAATTGTCCCTGACTTCTCATTCTCTGGGCCTGAAAGGCAGATGAATCCTAGGATAGAGTCAGTGGCCATAGGTGGGAGGAATTCACCATAATTTAAGACAGACTGAATTGAAGAAACCATAGTTCTTTCCAACTCTATCCCCAAATCCTCTATTCATACTTTATGTAAGAAAGACCATTTCATGTGTGATCTCTTTGTGTTACAACACAAGTAGCCCACTGTGCTAACTGACTTTATGAACTTTCTGAGAGAAGTTACCAGTTCTTGAATGTGAGAATATTCACACGGAAGAGAAACCTGTATTGTCACCTTTTACACCCAAGTCTGCTTATGGGAAAATTCAATTATGGGGAGAAACAATGCAATACATACAAAAACACCTTACCAGGCGGGGATGTCTCATTGAATACTGACAATAAGTTTATCTTCATCAATGTCTTTAATGTGTCAAAGCTTTCAACATAACTTTCATTTTTATATATCAGATAATTTGAAATGAAAACTATTTATGTAAGGTGAAGGCAAATTTTCAAATAGAATTGATAAATGTTGGATCAAAACTATTTAAAAAGTTTTGACTATCTAGCAACAGTTAAATATGAGTGGTGATATTCTCTGACAGGACGTTTGGCTATGTCTGAAGACATTTTTGTTGTCATAACTGGAAGTTAAAAGGTCTAGTGGAAAGAATCCAGATATGGTGCTACACAGCCTACAATGCATAAAACGGCCCCAAGTATGCTGCATTTATGCATATAAGTAGTTGTTAAAATTTATCTTGACAGAAGCCAGCACAACTATGGATAAGAAATACACATAGGATAATAGTGTGACTTAGATCAGAATTTTTTATTAGCCTATTTATTGTTATGAATCATACGAATCATACCAATCTCTACCCTTCCCCTTCCTCTCCCCCTTCTAGTCACCATAGATTTGTTCTACCCATCTGATAGATTAACTGATTCTCTGTTGGTTTGTTGCATTGATGATCCATCTGGTACTGAGACAGATGTGGTCAAGTCCTCCCGTGTTATAAATCAGATGTTTCTTTTACTCTGTAGTGTGCTTTGTGGGGGGAGTGGGATTTTTTTTCTGTCTCCCCTGGTGCCTCTCCTTTTGTCAATGCAGTTGAGAGTCTGGTGTATCGTGCACAGTGGCTGTGACTGCTGCTGTAGAGTGTAGCTGATTTTGCAGCAGCCATAACAATTGTGGTGGCTATGTGGTCTACCTGCATGAAAATGGTGTTTTTGGTATGCTCTACCTGGTTGTGGCTGGTTCAGGTTCCCTTGACTCCATGCCTTAGTACCCTGATGTGGCCCAGGGTGATGGTGGTGGCTTTCCTAGTTCTGGCTTGGTTCAGCTTTCCCAAGCTCCAGATCTCTGGACCCTGGCAGGGCCCAGACAGTGGCAGCTGCTTGCCCAGTTATGGCTGTATTCAGCGTCCCCTGGCTCCATACCTCCTCCTAAGATGTGGAGCAGTGGGGGAGAAGAAGGGGGAGGGGGAAATAGGGTGGAAAGACGGGGAATGAGATGGAGCATGATTGAAACTTGTGCCCTCCCTCATTCCTTCATGGGAGGCCAGGGGGCTTCTAGCAGTGGCTGGGTTGTCATTGGGCTGGATGCAGATGTCAGGGGGTGTGGCTCAAGCCCTTAGCCCCCAAATGCCCCAAGCTATCCATATATAGGATCCAAACCTGTGGCCTCGGCACTACCAGGACCACACTCTCCTGAGTGAGCCACAGGGCCGGCCCCAGGATCCTGGAGTGTTTCCTACAGCAGCTCACTGGTTGTCACTGGGCTGGTTTTGGTGCCCAGGGGATGTGGCTGAGGTCCTTGGCTCCCATTGCCCCAGCTTGGGAGACCAGGGCACTTCCTGTGGTGGCATGATGATAATCACTGAGCTGGTTGCAGATGTTGTGTGTATGGCCAAGGCCCTTGGCCCTCTGTCATCCCAGCTTGGGATCCCAGGACACTACCAGCAGTTCCTTGGTGGTCATCACTGTGCTCATTATGGATTTGGGGGAGGACATGGCTGAAGCCCTTGGCACCCCACAGCCCTGGCTTAGGATTCCAAGATGCTTCCTGCAGCAGCTCAGTGGTCATCACTGGGCTCATTATGGACATTGAGGGGGGTGGTTGAGACCCTTGGTCCCCCACAGCCCCATCCGAGGAGCCCAGGATGCTTCCTGCAGTGGCTTGGTTGGATGCAGATGTTGGAGGTGTGTGGCTGAGGCCCTTGACCCCTCAGTGCCCTGGCTCAGGGGCCCAGGGTGCTTTCTGTGGGGGCTCAGTGGTCATCACTGGGCTGGTTGTGGATGTTGGGTGGGTATGGCTGAAGACCTCGGCCCTCCCACTTCCTGGGCTTGGGAGCCCAGAGGCTTACAGTCCTTCTAGGTTTTATAGGTGTTCTTTGGTGGTGTTAGCCCTTTACGAGTAAAGATCAAACTTTGTCTCTGACCCGTGGATATTTTGGTTTTTTCTTTCACTTCTGTGTTGGATTACTCACTGTTCCCACCACTTAAATTCTGCACTGGAATTAATTTGTTGTCTTTGGCTTACTTCTAAAATGGAGGAACTTCCTATGGGGACCAGCACTTGAGCCCTGTGGTTTAGCTAAATTGCTGCTTTGCTGGTGTTTTCCTGGGGAAGGCTTTCTGTGCAGATCATGTTTTAATGGTTGACCTTGTATGTACTTCCTGGTCAACCTCATGAGGTCTGGTTCACCTGGCTTGTGTGGAAACTCTGGTCTGGGCCAGAGTCTTTTCAGCAAACTGCAACCCCAGCAATTCTATATTCCTGATCAGTCTACACTGAGTGATCCTGTGCTGATTGGAGCAGATCAGCTGTCTATGCTGTGCACCGATGTTCCCCTGGTGGGCCATCTCCCCAACAGCCCATACTCCAAACACTTCCCATAGGACAGGCCATGCACTGGTTCCTTTTCATGACTCACTGGCCTCTGAGTGGTTACTTTTTCTGTTGTCTGTGGCTTTTCACTTGTATATGGGTCCACAGAAACCCTGTTAGTGGTCTTGCTGGCCTGGGTGCCACTAAGTCCCTCTTCTCTCCTGCCACTTTCAAGCAACTTCACACAAAGGGCACAGCTGTGGCTTTTGACATCTCTCGCTCTGTGTGTTCACCAGCTCCAGCCTTAAAGTGGCTGGGGCTCAAAATGGTTGGAGCGATCCTTTCTCTCATCGTGGCTTCTTCTGCCTTCATGAGCTCCATGGGTCTCTCCTCCTCTTCCCCTAAGCTCTAGCAGCCCCAGCTTGGCTGTCATTGCTTTTTAATGGTTGTAAATTTGTTGATTTGCCAGTCAGAGTGATGCAGGGGACCATCTATTCTGCCATCTTTATTGGAAGGCTTACCTCAGAATTTTGGAT